TGATGGATTACCTGTTATTTTTTCTCAATTTTATTTTTAAAAATAATAATAAAATAAATATTGTAATAGGCAAATAACCGAGTCTAGCTTCTTGATTGGTGGGTGGGTGGGTGTGTGTAGTGGCAAAATAATGGTTGACTTTTGCTATTAGGTCAACCACGTCGGTTTGCAGCTTTTGGTTTTGCGTGTTTCTCAACTTGTGTTTATGTGAAACAAACAAAATCAAAAACAAATTGGTTTTTCATAGTTTACATAAATAAGATTTCTGGGGTTTTTTTGTTGTGTTTAATATGTCATTGGTTTCAAACGTTATTTTTCATATATAATAGGATCATTGCAAGATGTTGACGCATACACATGTGTGTATATATCTATATATCTAATAAATAAGTAATTTTGAGGATACGTGTCATGTTTATGTGTGTCGGTTATTGATTTTTCCCGTCTAAATATGTATCTAGACACAATTTTCACTTACGGTTCAAATAGGTCTATTTAAGTGACATCTATCTCTCTACACGTTTATATTTCAGAGTTGAAGTTCAGAGTTACGTTTCTGAGTTATAAGAAGTCAAAATTCTTGTAACTCAGAGTTATGCTCGTAGATACTTTCTATACTTAGAAGACAATCTTGAATACCTTTTATTCAGAGTTAAGTCCAGAGTAATTTTTTAGCCTAACAATAGAACTCTGAATTCTTGTGTTTCATAGTAAATGTTTAGAGTTTTTTTTTCAGAGTTAATGTCCAAAGTTTTTCTCATTTAAAATATACACGGGTCAAACCTAGTATATATATATATATATATATATATATATGTGTGTGTGTGTGTGTGTGTATATGTATAGGTATAGGTATAGGTATAGGTATAGGTATAGGTATAGGTATAGGTATAGGTATAGGTATAGGTATAGATATGTATGTACTTGTATTTGTTATTCTTTTAACAAGATGGTGTTTGCAATTTTAAACAAAAGGCATTTCGACTTCACCACACGGTCCATTTACTCCATAAGTGTAATGAACATATGATTTTTTTAGGGTGTACCAAGTCATTAGATTCAATATCTTAATCTTTGATTGATTTATCGTTTTTCGTGGTTGACATTGTTAGCACATGTTATGATAATTGATCCTTCTCTTGTAAGATAAAGACGGGAATAAATATCTACGACTAATACATGATCACTAGTTATTATATATGTATATAAGCAAGTTGATAAACAAAAATTGAATGAAATAATGGAAGGAACATGACAAGTGGATAAAATAAGCAGAATATCATATAATAATTAAGTTATAGAAGTCAGAGCAACTCCGATTTATTATATTATATCTTTTTAGATGAATAATTAATTATTTAAATATTATATTATATTATATTATATTATATTATATTTTTAGATGAATAAATGTGTAAAGACACAATTAACTGAATATAAACCTGAGTAAAAGTTGGTCAAAAATGTATTCAAATTCTTATACGTTTTCGAATTTTTTATTCATAAAACATATTGGATATATTTAACAAACTAGGTAACAGTCTAGACGTCTCGTAAAAAGCTAATTATTAGCTGAAAACCAGTCATATTTGATAAAAATCAATGAATAACTTATATGACATTGTAAAATAACATGTTAAAAGGTCACACAATCCTAAACATAAAGAACATAGTTGGAAAAAAAATCAAATAAAGGTAACGAAGTCTTGAAAAACTATCGAACTTTCTCCAGATTTTGGTTTTTATTGTTTACCGAACGACGGGTTTTGAATAAATTTAAATAAAGAAGCTGGTTTATGGTTAGTAAATATGGTCATTATTGTTTTAATAATATGGTTTTTGAATTTATTTTAATATATTATTTATATAAAAATGAAACCAAAGCGGTGGCTGGTCAGCTTAACTTGATCGTCTCTATTTTATCACACCCTTAGAACAAATAATTAGTTTTTTAAGCTTTTGTTTATTGGTGGCAAACCGGAAGGATTATATGGCGTAAGCAACGGTCGAAGTTGTAAGTTTTTTAATAGAGGTTGAAACGGTTTTAGTTGACTCGTCAATAGTTTTTAGTCCATTTTCTTAAATTATATAAATAAATACTATTATAATACCTACTTTTGAAGATTTTTTTTCCTTCGAAAAAACAATATAAGAAATTGTAAACATTTTAATGGTTCCTGTCGTTGGCAAATAATTTGGATCGGGTTTCTTAAACGCATTAATTACACTGGTATTCCCTAAGTATTACTTTGCAATTTGGATAGGATTTATCTGATTAACTTCATCCATGTTTGATCGTTAAGTAAAGTCATGTGCCTTTTATATTAGGGGAATTTAGGGGCCGTTTATCAAACGCTTACTTGAATAAGCACTTACCAAGTTATATTACCTTATCGTATGAAATATGGTAAAAACCAAAAATCTTACCCGGTAAGAACGAAACAAAGACTGAAAGTCTTACCCGGTAACTCCGGTAAGTGAGGGCAATGACTCTTACCATAGTCAGCTCTTACCGAACAAATTGTCGCATAGAAAGCCGTTTTTGTTAACTAAAATCTTATCCGGTAAGTTAACAATAGTATTGAATTTTACCGGTAAGTGATTATCGGGTAAGTGTTTGGTAAACGACCGCTTAGTCTTTTACCCTTATTTACTCATCCTCTTCCTCTTCAACCACAGATGAACATGAACAATTTAACCCAAAAATTTAAAACACAAACAAATGAACATGTACATCATGTTCTTCATCCCATGAATTCTAACACAAACTAATGAAAACAATTCATTTCAGAAATCTATGATATAAAGCCGTAAATTTAAATTAAAAAAGAAACATCAATATTAAATGCAAATCAAAAAACAGATGCACGTAGTCATGTTAGGTTAAAGTGGTGCCGATGTATAAGCCAAAGAGGGAGGTGTAGAAACTCGAAGCAAAGGTGGTCACCAACAATGAAGGATGGTGGTGATGGGATGGAGGTGTAAAAACCTATATCTCAGAGGAATCCTTCCATCATCAACATATTAGAAGTCAGAAACCATGAACACACCATTGTCATGTTCTTTTTGTGATCTCGTTGGTACTTCTAGGTTTTGTGGTTGTTGGATTGATAGAAGTGAGAGATTTAGGGGTCGTTTGGTTCGTGGAATTCGAAGGAATTTGATGGAATTGAAATGATAAATTTTCTTTGACCAAATTCCAATTCATTTGTTTGGTTCATTTCTTGAAATGGATGAAATCCTTCAAATTCCATTGAATTTCACAAATTAATGAATTAATCATTCCTTGGCATAATGGAAGGAATTGAAATCCAACACCATCCACCACGACCATGCTACTATTGTTCCTCATGCCCCAACCCTAACCCCCCACGATCACCATACCACTATTGTCGCCGCCACCCACCCTCACCCACCGACTCTCCCTATCCCACAAAGAACCACCAT